AAAAACACAAACCCCATTGGAACATATTTGTTTTGGTCATTGCTTTCAAAAAATAATCAATTGAATGCATCTAAGTAAGTAAAGGAGAAAATCAAGTAAAATTTTTACTTAAAATGGAAAGAAAAAGCATAAATAAGTAAACAACTTACCTTGAAGTATTTAAAGAGAAAAGTTGGTAACAAAAAAAACACTTGTCGGACTCATAGGAGAAAAAAAGAAAAGGCTGAGTGGACGCAACGATGACTCGATAATACTAAGATTTAAGTCTGAAATAATGTTAAAGACTAAAGAGAAAAAGTGGAGTCGAATATCGAACGTCAAAGACTGTATGAACTATGGAGGTTGAAGAATATGAGAAGAGTTTGAAGTCTGAAGAGTTAGAGTTTGAAGAGTTAGAGTCTTCGAGAGTATTAGGGCAAGTAAGAATAGGAAAGGTCTGAAGGTGAGTTATGAATGGAGTGGAATTAGTTTTACTTTTAGAAGATAATGAGTCAAGAGAATCAATTAGTTAATTAAGGAATATTAGTCAATTATTAGAGGTTTAGATGAGATTTGGAATTGGAAAACAAAATTAATAAATAATAAATTAAAAAATTTTATATTTTTAAACAGGTAAACGGGTCAAACTCGTTAACCCGATGGGTCAACCCATTATTGACTCGTGACCTGTTGGGTTCTTTTAACGGGTCATTAACGGGTCACGGGTCATAACGGGTCACAGGTCATAAATATATGATCCTAACCCGTTTTAAACGAGTGAGTAATGTGCGACTTAACGGGTTAGGTAAAAAATTGTCAGGTCTAGATTTAACATATAATTAAAAATAAAAAATTTTATAATTAATTTTATATCACAAAATACTTATTTTCTTATAACGAAATTTGACTTATACTGATATTTATTTCATTTTAAATAGTTTATTAATTTTATAAAATATTTTAAAATATTTATTATACAAAATTTTTATTAGTTTTAAAAAAATAACAAAAATAATAAATCAAAATTAAAATAAAATAATTTCAATCAATAAAATAATTCATGATAAATAATGTAAGTTATTAAATCATGTCAATAATTATAATTTCTACTATAAAAAAATTATTAAAAGAAAAAA